CTCTCTCTCTCTCTCTCTCTCTCTCTCTCTCTCTCTCTCTCTCTCTCTCTCTCTCTCTCTCTCTCTCTCTCTCTCTCTCTCTCTCTCTCTCTCTCTCTCTCTCTCTCTCTCTCTCTCTCTCGAGCTACAACGACCGATAGCCTCTGGCCAACTTTCGTCCCAGAATCCAATTTTTTTCGCGACACGAATCTCGCTAATGTACCGTCTAAGATGTACGGTCCATGATTCTGGACGGTGTATAACGCCTCTTTCGACCGCTTAAAGATTAATTATAAAGCGCGCTCGATTCTTCTCAAACATATCTTCTCAATCAATTATTTTTTCCTCTTTCTTGTTTTCTTCTTTCTTTTGTAATAAATAGATAGTTTAATTCGATATAATTTCTTCAAAAATAATAAATTTAAAAAATTTGTTAATAATTTTTCTTTTGAGTTAAAAAGTTATATACATCTAAAAATTGAAAATTACGTTTGGTGTATCACAATATTGCATTCATTAAAGTTAAAGAATCGATGAGTTAAAAGGGTTAAGATGTAACTCACCCCGCTTCACGTCTCGCCACGTGTTCGTGATTTCGTCCAGCCTTCCTTGCTCGTTTGGCGTTCACCCATATATTCCTCTCACATCGTTCTAACCGCTAACGCTCTACGAATCTGTAACATGATACAACAAATGATGAAAGGTTTCGTTTCGATCATTGTTTCCCTATCTATTATAACATCGTTGCGTTAATATACACGCCCCAATTACAATACGTTATCAATAGCGCTCCGTTTCATATATTATATTACGATAAATAGAATCAACAAAGTTAAATTATATAGTTTCGATCCAAAATGTACAACTCCTGAATTATAATAATCGTGGATTAATTCACGATCTTAAATCTTTTATTTATTTTCGATCGCTTCTCAATTCTATCAAGAATTTTATCCCATCCCCGAAACTCGAGTTTTTCTCTTCCATACTATTTCCCAAATCTATCCCATTCCCACGAACGAAGTTTTTCTTTTCTCTCTCTCATCTCTTGTCCGTCGTTTATTTTCGTTAAAAAGAAGAAACTCTGAATTAAATAAAAGATAATAAAGGCAAGACGACTCGATTGCATCCGACCATCTGTATCTCTAAATTATTAACGCTGTCCAAAGTATTTAATTTCGTTTACCCATGAATCGATCAGGTCGAGGCGGTCATTAGGTTAAGGCAGAGCACACATGCGACAAATGCATAATGCTGTCCCGGGGTTGCAGGCTGTGTGCACATGCGGGCACGTGTGGCGAGACGTGTGCGCCGCAGACCACGCAAGAGCAAATAAGAGAGGCCAGTACGCGCGGCTTATGCGAAATGCTACAAAACTGGATACGGTAAAATCCCCGTTTAACTATGATTTATTCGTTTTAATTCGTCCAATCGGTTTTAATCGAACGAACGATCGGGATGAAAATTTTTCACAAAGATATTTACTCTGTTATTTTCTACCTTTTTTTCTATTTTTATTTTTATTTTTTTATTTTATTTCAAATTTCTCTTTGATTCCTTCTATCTCTCGAAAAAATTATACTTTTGTTTTGCTAACTGGTTTGACCAATCGATGAAAATATCGAATTTCGCAATTCGATATTTTGATATTTTATTGCCAAATTGTATGATCTTTATTTTATACGGATATCTATTTATTTATTTATTTTTTTTTTTTCATTTGGCGTGTAATTGGATATTTTAAGGATAATAGATTACAACGATATATAGAATTTCCTGGGTGCATTGACGTAATTAACGTCCCAAATCGAGTGGGAAGTTCTCGAAAGCATCCATAAATACTTCCACGAAACGAAATTGCTCGTAAATTTTCTGCACGAGGAATCTTTTATCTCTTAATGTTCTCCCTTTCCTCTTTACGGCCACAAGTACAAGATAAGGGATGCTCGTCCCCTTCCTTAATCTCCTCTTCTTCACCTCGTTCAACCGCTTTGCTTTTGTCCGTTTTTCTTTAATCGTATCTCTCATTGCTCGCCTGAATTCCATCGTTATCCAAATTCCAAATTCTCAATCGTTTATTGTTGAAATAAGTTGGAAATTATGAAAGATCATGAAATACAAAAAATGGTACACAAAATATTTTAGAACTTATTTCTTTTAATTATCTAATTTCACTTGTAATTAGAGAAATTACAATTTTTACGAGGAAAATTTTGAAAAAAATAAAACTCAAATCCCGTTTTTCGTCCTTAAAGTATCATTGTGCACATTGTGTCCATAGATTTTCATACAAATAAACGACTAATTTTACTAACATTCATATCCGTTTTCTGTTTCAGACGTTCGATCCTGTTGAACATGCTGCGATACATCAACACCCCTCGTATAATGGACACAGGTCCAACTGAGATAACAAATGAACTTAGCAGAAAATCGTAGAGGAGTAATTAATGGGACAATTTTCGTTTCGCTATCGTTATTCAGCGCGAAGGAAGACAGGGTACAGGTGTTGCCTGTGCCTCAGATAATGGTTCGGCTATCTGCACATCCGTTAATTCGGGATAGGAGCTCGCCGGCAAAATCCTGACAGCAGGGAGTTTTGGCCGAGTGGTTCGCCCTACCACGACAGAGAGAGAAAGAGAGAGAGAGAGAGAGAGAGAGAGAGAGAGCTGGTAATTGGTGTCTGAAAGCTGTTTTCACCCGGAAACCAATCGTCCTCCTCTTCGACGAAACTTTCGCAGCGGAGTTTCCAGATGTAGACCATCCACCGGTGTAACCAATCGTCGACAACCGTGCCACCCGGCAACCCGTGGAAGAAAAATTGCGGCCGGTGAAGCGCGAAAACTGTGCAGGGAACACGTGGAAAAGTTTCGTGGCCGTGGTTGGCCAGCGTGAAACCGCATCACTTTTCTGATCGCCAATATCACGGGAATACGTTTGCCTCTGATTGAACCGAGAAACGTTACGGCTACGAGGAAAACCCTTGGTAAGCGAGATTTTCTAATTGATATTATTCTTGCATCCCACTCTTTCAATCAATTTAATAACGACACGTTGTTATCTCTTTCGAATTGTTTTTTTTTTTTTTTTTCTTTTTTCGATACGTTCGAGCAGGAGAGATTTAATAATTTCATTAATGAAATTGAAGCTTTGAAATGGAAGCCTTATTTCATTTCCATAGATTCGAAATAAATTTAATTAGAGAAGAGGGATGTCCTTCCTTTTGGGGAAGGAATATATTTCTCGTTGAGGTATGGCGTTCGAGAGATCGGTTGATTTGATAAACGCGCGAAATTTCTTTGGACGGAAGAGAGGGTGGGTATCGAGAATCGAGCGAAATCCACCTGAACAAAAAACGGACGAGGTTATTTCCGATATCACGCAGCCGATGATACTTTCGCGTGCCTACGTTCGTACTATTGGACTTGTGGTATCCGGATTATCCGCAGTTTTCGAACTTGGAACACCGTACGATCATTCTTCCCAACCTCGAAGATTAAGATTATTCCAAAGAAAAATACAATGGAAATGTATATTTAGAAGAGTAAAAAAGTCTTCGAAATTTACCGTCAACTCTCGATTCAGCGCCTATTCAGCAACCTTCGAGAGTTTTATTCTCAAATATAATTACATTCGTACATCGAAATGATTATTCAGAAGCGTACAACTACGATGATTCGTGGAAACATTGTTACGTTACCAACGTCACATTTTGTTGTATAGGGATCAAAATCGAGAGCAGCACACTGGCCATCCTAGTTTCGTACGTACACGAAACGAGCCCACCACATTCACGAGCGAGCTCCCAAGAGTCGTATAGTTGGTGACTAGTAATTAGCTAGACGAGTGACACTATCTCCGTTATCACTCCCAGGGTACAACGCAATGTGCTAGCTCTCAGGCCTCGTATCGTACATTCGTTTCCTATAATTTAGTGTACGTATAATTCCTTCGTTATCGGATCGATCATGACGCAATTCGTTTCAACGAGTAATCAAGCAAACAACGTGCCACGATCCAACGGGATCATCTGGTGAATCGCAGAAAATCTTCTTTCGAAATCGAACGAAACCTCTCCTCATCCTCCCTCATCTCTTTTCTCATCTTTCATTCTTCATTTTCATTTGAAAAATCTGGCTGCAGAGAGAGAGAGAGAGAGAGAGAGAGAGAGAGAGAGAGAAGAGTGTGG